ACCAGGCCGAGGGACCCCACCAGTTTACAATTGGGGCTGGGGAGGAACGCGGGAGGTTGGACAACTGGGGAGGGACCATGGGAGGACCCTGGGCGTGTCCAGCCCATCTAGCTCAGTCCCAATCAGCCACACCCCAGCAGCAAGCTGATCTACCAGTTGGAGCATCTACCCCCTGGTGGTCAGTGCACGTCATAGTGAGCGGTTGAGCAGCCTTAGCATATCATTAGCATATTACTCTTTTATTGGTTGAATGGCCGACCAGACAACTGGACACTTAGCATATTAGGCTTTTATTATATAGGATATTCCTCTAGTACAGAAAGCTCAATCTAGACGTGGAGAGAATAAAATATAGCTTTAATAGGGCCATATTAGCAATAAACTCAGGGTAGCTTTTGTACATAACTTAGGTACTTAAATTTTTTTATGAATAAATAAATAAGTGCATATTCAAATGTGCATTAGTTGTAGAAAAGTTCATCTTAGTGAAACATGGAAATTAAACTGGAACACGTGGTTTTTCCTCTGGGAGGGATGCGAAGGGGATTTCCTGGGTTCTTATCCAGGTGGATTCAAATAATGAAGCCACAGACAAAAGGTGGTATAGGAAAAGGTGGAAATTTATTGGGAAACAACCACGTGGGGAGGGGGAGAGACCCTCAAGTCCCTCTTTCTTAAGGTTTATAAAGGCTGCAGTTCTTTGTGTCCTGATATCCCCTCTGATTGGTCACTATAGCAGCTTCAGAGCTCAAACCCCACAGTGGGGTTCTGTTCTTTTTCTCCCTTTTGTTTTTCTATTCCCTGTGGCCTTCCTCTTTATTCTGTAAATGAGTGGCTTCCTCTCCCTTTTTTCTGTAAAGGTATCCCTTCTGGCAGATCCCAGCACCCTTATTCTGTGAATGTATGCCTTCTGGCAGCTCCCAGCTTTGCAGCCCTGTGGTTCTCCCCCATGGACCCCCTAATTCCTAAAACTCCCTAAACCTGCCTATTTTACCCCTAACAACTCCATTCATTAGGGAAAAAATGCTTATTTTTATGGAAGATAATTAAGATAAGGCAAAGGTAAAGATTTCTTCAGAAACTGAAGAAATTCTCTATCATGCCATTAAAAGAAGAAAAGTTGTTTCTACAAGTAAGAGGGTCTAGAAAGAAGTTTTAAAAAGAGTGAGAAGGAATCCTAGTAATTTGGCGCAAGCTGCTTAGAGAAAATATGGGTTGCTGAATTTATTACTAAATAGAAAACAAATATTACTTAACAATAAATTATTTTATTATTTCCACAGATGAAAGTAATCACCTGATGGTATATATTTTTGGAATTTTAATTGGAACTGGATCGGCTATTGTTCTTCTTTTTCTCTTGGGTTATTTGGGAATTCAATATGAAATCAGATGGCTCCTAGTTCTGGTATGTATTTCATTTCAATAGCCTGAAAGTGTATTTTTGATTTGAAACTCCAGGTCACACAGTTGAACTGAATGATTTATGTTATCACAACATTGCAGTACAGTGTGCTCTTGGGCATAAGGCAAATAAATCCACCCCTTCCAAGAAAGGGTTCTAGGTAGAATTTGAGGGGAGAGTTTTCTATGGATCAAATCTATACCTCAATTTTTGTGCCTTTAGATAATTAATTTTTAGTACAAAGTCAATAGGGATCTGTTTTTTAAAGTGACCTACAATTAACTAACATTGGAATGTAAAGATTAATATCAGTATAAACTATATTAAAGTCAACAAGCATTGTAGCTTAGCATTCAAAAGGAAACATATCCTGTAGTCAGCACATTTTCTCCTTGTGCGCATGCCATGTAGGAAATTGACTTATAACTGAGATCAAAATTAATTATTTAACAAAGAGAAATGTAACTGCTGAGAAGAGCAAACTCTAGCCTCTGGCTAGTATTCTCTCTCCCAAGACATAACATGAAAATATAAATTATAAACCAAACATGAGCTATTTACCATACATGTGGTAGCTATAGATCACAACTAACACACTTAGATGGACTATAGTGTTTAACATTTCTTTTAAATCTAATTAATTTTAATTCACAGGCACTCTCCTGTCAAGAAGATAAATAAGAAATTTAACTACAGTCATTGTGTCTTGCTGGGAAGAATGCAGAAATACTTACCTTTCCTGTAGCACTAAAGGTCTGGGTGGTCACTCTAGACCAGTGGTTCTCAACCTTCCTATTGCTGTGACCCTTTAATACAGCTCCTCATGTTGTGGTGACCCCCAACCATAAAATTATTTTCGTTGCTACTTCATAATTGTAATTTTGCTACTGTTATGAATCATAATGTAAATATCTGATATGCAGGATGTATTTTCATTGTTACAAATTGAACATAATTAAAACATAGTGATTAATCACAAAAACAATATGTAATTATATATGTGTTTTCCGATGGTCTTAGGTGACCCCTGTGAAAGGGTCGTTCGACCCCCAAAGGGGTCGCAACCCACAGGTTGAGAACCGCTGCTCTAGACACTGATTTTCAGTATACACTGGTCAAAGGAATTGACTAATTGAATTTCCTTCTGTGACAGTTTTAGATCTGAATGAAGACAGTGTCAACAACATCGCCTTAGACCACGTAACCTGTGAGGGTTCTATCACTTCCTTCTTTCTTACTCCTATCCAAATGTTCATTGATATATATATTTGTTGCTGTTTTGTTTGAATAATTTTGATATTGTATATGAGAACAGGAACTGCCAGCAATACCTATGTATATTTTAAGACTATTTCATATGGTGTACACTTTCCCATCATTGTAGCATCTAAAAATATATTAAAAGCATAGTTGTCATCTCTATTTTTCTTCTGTTTTAGTATGCAGTACTGTTAATGTGGGCCTTTGGTGTTCAGGTTGTACTTTCAGCACTCATCTTCACAAAGAAAGAGGAGGTATGGAAAGATCAGCCTTTTTTTTTTGAAATCTAAAGAAAATTGAATATGTTAGATTTTTGAGACCTATAAGCCTATATTAAAAGCTAAAGGTAAATGTCTCTGAGGGTAAAAAGAGTCAATGAAACTACTAGAATTCTATACAGGAAGGGGCCAGGTGCAGATAGGAAGGGTGGGTTTGGGAACTTGTCTTTTACTCTGTTTGCAGAAGACTGAGAATGTACAAATAATAAAGAATGTGGAGGTAGAGGAGAAGATGCTGAGTGTGGGAAATCCAAAATTGGCCCCCCAGCCCGCCCTGGCTACCACTGCTGACCCAATCACTTTACTATATTCTCTTCTATAAAGAAATATTTTCAACTTTTATTCATTTAAAATGTAATAATATCATTAAGTAGATTGGAAAAAAAAGATAGACTGAATAATTCATGTATTTTGCACTGGTATGGCCATGAGTAAGATAGTTAAATTAATTAGGTAAGTTCAAAATAACACATAATAAATTGCATGAAGAAACTTTTCATAATAAAACCTACCTATTACAGCCTAAGGTTACTTTCAATCCTTCAAGAAATGTCGGTTTCAGGGTAGTTGGGGCTGTCTTTATATTAGGGGAATTGTCCTATAGTAAAAAAGAGCATGGACTTGAAGTCATACAGATTTGCATATGACTAGATATTTAATAGCCTGAAGCTTAGTTTTCATCTGTATCCTCTGGTTAATGCCTATTTACCTTACAGAGAAACTGACAATTTTCAAAGTTCCTGTCATAGAGTAGCTACTCAAGAGCCCTCTTCCTTCCCTTCATTAATTTTAAATGAGCTCTTGGTTAATTCCTTGCTTCCTGGCATTCAAATTATCTCTATATGTAGGCACCTATGTACTAGTAATGGCCAAACCCAACAAAATCTTCCTTTAGAATACCACTGCCCTCCACCTTTATTAGCTATCTTATACTTAGCATCTATCCTGGGTATCTAACCACTCAGGAACCTGTTGTTAATGGCCTGGCATTTGTAGCTAAAATTTCTTCTCTCTATATCCAAAATGTGTGTGTGTGTGTGTGTGTGTGTGTGTGTGTACAGCAGGTAAGTTCTGTAAAGCTGCTTTGGTGAAAAAGCACCAGTTTCCAACCCATAGCTTCTAACTAGTGATAGAACTAGTGATAAAACCTGAATATAATACTTAAGAAACCTTAACACATAAATATAGTGTATCACTGTCATCAATATTTACTTAAGTATTATTTACATACTTTTCTCTATCTACTTTAAGAATATTAAAAATCATCTATATATATAAAAGGCTAATATGCAGTGTCCCCTTGGGAGTTCCACTGGGAGACCGGGAGTTCAATTGCTCACTATGACATGAGCTGACCGCCAGGGGGTGGTGAGAAATGAAGGGAGGTCCTGGCTGGAGCCGGAAGGCCCTGATCTGCCCTGATTGCCAGCCAGGCCTAGGGACCCTACCTGTACACGAATTTTGTGCACCAGACCTCTAGTTTAATAATAAGCCATGAGCCAGAGACTGTGATAAGCATGTTCTAGGCATTATATTATTGATCCTCGTAGAGGTTCACTGTTAGTCCTACTTTCTAGTACAGGAAACTGAGGCTCTGAGAGGAGAAATACTTGCTTAAATATATTGTGGCCAAATGACAGCCGGGACTAGAACCCCTATTAACTCATCCCAGAGAAGAATAGCTTTGTTTACATTGATTTGTCTTCTACATTCAAAGTCAATTAAGCTTTTAGGAGCCTCTAAATCTCTTATGCTATTCACAATGCCTAATTCAGTGTTGGAGATGCACTAGGGCTTCACAGTATATATGTCAAATTAAATATGTGTGAGGGAATTTTTTCATATAGTAGTCACACAGATTATTTAGGAAATTCACTTTACTCTTATGTACAAAGGTGTGATTCATAAGTACTTTGGATCTCCCAAATAGTGCTTAGAGGGTAAATGAGAACATGAATCTGTCCTCTCCTGGCAACACTATAGAATGGAAAACATCATTTTCTATTCTCAATAAAAATTAACTTAGAGAATAAGTTAGATAACATATAGCTCTAAGTAACATTTTATGTTATTCTAATCTTCTTACATATATTAAAGCATAGATATATAAGTAACTGCATAAGTGTTTAACTTGTACAGATGTTTTAATTATTATAGTACTAGAGGCCCAGTGCATGAAATTCATGCATGGGGGGGGGTGTGTCCCTCAGCCCAGCCTGCATCCTCTCTAATCTGAGACCCCTCAGGGGATGTCTGACTGCCAGTTTAGGCCTGATCCCATAGGGATCCCATAGGGATCGGGCCTAAATTGGCAGGCAGACATCTCTCTCACAATCCGGGACTCCTGGCTCCCAACCACTCACCTGCCTGCCTGCCTGATTGCCCCTAACTGCTTCTGCCTGCCAGCCTGATCACCCCCTAACCACTCCCCTGCCAGCCCAATTGCCCCCAACTGCCCTCCCCTGCTGACCCAGTCGCCTCCAACTGCCCTCCCCTGTAGGCCTGGTTGCCCCCAACTGCCCTTGCCTACCGGCCCGTTCTCCCGCAACTGCCCTCCCCAGCAGGCCTGGGAACCCCTAACTGCTCTCCCCTGCAGGTCTGATCACCCCTAGCTGCCCCCCCCCCCGCCGGCCTGGTCACCCCCAACTGCCCTCCCCTGCCAGCCATCTGTGGCGACCATCTTGTGACCACATGGGGGTGGCCATCTTGTGTGAGGGCTTGTCGGTTAACTTGCAAATTACCTCTTTATTATATAGTATTCTCACCAGTTATTTAATTTTGATTATTCAAAGACAGCAAAATATAAGGAAATGTCACTAGACTGGAATTTAAACAAAACATATATAGACGTCTCAGCTCCTCTTCCTTATTAATGTAAACAAAGCAAATAATGAAATTCTCTAAGTATCTGTCTTCTTGTTCATAAAATGGGAATAGTATCTGTTCTTTCTAAGTTTTGGCATTTTTGAGGACCAAATTAGAGATTAGTTATGAAAGTCATGAACTTTTGAATGCTTAAGTAAAACCAAATACATCAGTACTCACTGAGATTGTTAAAAATAGGTATAAGGAAGAAAAAAGCTTTTAGACATAAGCAAAAAACAAAAGGTAACTTTGAATACCCTTTTATGAAGATACATAAGGAAAGTTCCCATCAAAATTTCACTTTTTATCCAATTTTCAACAGGTTCACCAAGTATGGCATGATGAAATTGATTTAGTCATTTCTCAGTATGGATCTAAAGATGTGCCTGAAGACATACTTAAGTGGACTATTCTGAATGCTTTACAAAAAACAGTAAGACAAAATTAGCATAAAACTAAAAATTAGATGTCAGAGGTGATCATTGTAGGACAGAGAGGAATAAAGGGAAGGGTAGAGGACAGGGACAGAGAAAGGAGACATTCTTTTATTTCTTCCAAAACAAATAGGGTATAATCGCGTTGTCTCCACTTACAGATCTTAGTTGTCTCTTCCTTTTGTAACTTACAGCTCCTTTTCTGGGTTAAGTGATGTGCATTTTAACCTGGTTTCCCTGGGAAAGTGTTGGTGGTCTTTGCCAAGTAGGGTCATCAGTCCTCCTGCACCCTTGGGCGGTAAGTGTGAGCACAGTCCGAGCTGGCAGCAGAGTAGCATGATGGCTCCCATTTGAGCCTGCATGTTTGGATTGCCACACAGTAGCTTTGTGATCCAGAACAAGTAATTTTCTTAACTTCACGTTTCATATTAGTAAAATGGGCAGAATAACTTCTACTTCTAGTTGGCAGGAATAAATGGAATAATATAGAGACTATTTAGAAAGCCTTAGATCTGGAACATAGCAGGCAGCTAATATTTATTAGCTAATGTTGTTACGGTTATTATTGAACAGTTCAGCTATTTCTGGGCAGTGAAGGGAATTGGTATGGTCAGCCAAATAATGTACAGGAAGAGATCAGCACCTGGAACATTTACATAGTACCAGTTCCTTTTGTAAGTGCTTTGCATGTATTAACTCACTTTATCCTCCCAACCAATGAGGTCAAACTATCATTCTCATTTTATAGGTGGAGGCCAGAGAGATTCAGTAACCAAGCCAGCGTCACCCAGTTAATAAGTGGCAGAGCCAGCATCCAGTCCCAGACAATCTAGCACTAGATTTTGTATTCTTAACTGCCACTTTAGATGCCTCACATAGAAATAGTTCATTATTTTTGGTACCTTTACTAAACAAAGTCCATTTTAGGAGAATTGAAATGCAATTATAAATGTTTTATTCTGCATATGTTTTTTTTCTGATGTATGTGAATTGTAGAGGTATTCCATTTCCAGATTGCATTACAACCTTTTTTTTTGTATGGTCATAAACTGATAAACGGGAAAACAAGTCTATGTATGACATTACTATCATTAACGAGAATCCAGCTTAAAGTTCCTAACCATGAATATAATTGATATCTTATATGTAGGTTTGATTGATTTAACTAACTTTTAATATCCAAGCTCTAAAGCACTATTATAGTCATTCAACATTCCCAAGTTCTTGTCAAAATTGTTGGTACATATTATGACATAGACAATACTAATGCTATAACTTTCAAGAACAAGTTTAGAAAAACAATGAAATATTTGCTTTAACCTTCTCTTATTTTCTAGGTGTCAAATATATAAACTGACTTTTTTCACATCCTCCTAACTAACTCAATAGGATAGGAAATGAGACATTTATTAGATGTTTGACTATCTTCCTTATCAACTTTTTGGTTCTTTGTTGCAGTTTTTCACACAATACAAAATTGAAAATTAACATCTCACATTAATCCTAAAGAAAGTAGATTAACCCTCTTTATGTATACTAAACATATATGGCAGCATGGGGATAAATATATAGAAAGATAATTGCTATAGTTAAGAAGAGGATTCTTTCTTCTATGTTCTGGCCCGAAACATGGTTGTAGATATGGTAAATCAAGCATACCTTTCATTCTGGGCTCCTATAAATAAATTCAGACGTAACAATTTCAGCCAAACATAGTCCACTTATCAAGTAGAGATCTTTACCTCTTGTTGACATCAACAATAGCAGCAACAATATAATAGATTAAACAAACGTGTACTTATTTACTTAATTCACTACATTTTAACGGAGAATAAATTTATCATGAAAACACTTTAATGTGCATGAGCATTATATAATTAACTGCATTTTGAATATTTTATGGTAAAGTTCATAAAAATCTTTTTCCTAGTTGCAGTGTTGTGGCCAACACAATTACACAGATTGGATAACGAATGAGAATAAAGAAAATTCAGAACAGGTTCCATGTTCTTGCACGAATTCTACATTAAGAAAGTGGTTTTGTGATGAGCCACTGAATGCAACTTACTTAGAGGTAAAGATAAGTCAAAGCCGCTGAAAATATTTTACAGCGACTTTTTAAAAATTTTATTTTGCAAGTCAACTTATAATTCTGAGCCAATTTTTATATAAAGACAATGTTATTTCTGGTCGGTAGGTTCTTCAGTGACTTCCCTAAATTGAACTCATATTTAGGTGATTGCAGTACTATCTCAGGTATATAATAAATAAGTAAACTTTCTGGGAGTATCGTATGTGATCTAAGTGCTACTAGAACTTGGGATGCCATCAACCTTTCTCCTCAACCTTCCTTCCCAAATCCTTGCAGAGGAAGGGGACACTATTGGCAACTCTCACTATTGGTCGGAGAGCTGCCATACCAGTATTAAAGAGTATGGAGATTGGCAGAAACTGAAGGGAGGAAATCCCAGCAATGACAAAAGTGCTTTTCAAGTAAATTTGGCAGAATTGAGAGTACAGGTTCACCTGGAGCAATGACTATTTACAGGTATGGAATATTGATGAACTAGAGATTTCCATCCCAAGAACTTCTAATACTTTGTATAGTTTATTTACTAATGCCATTCTAATTTTAAGATGTATCTTTTAATTATATAATTTATTCATAAATAAATAGAGGATTTTAAAAAAATTTTAAATATATTTTTATTGATTTCAGAGATGAAGGGAGAGGGAGAGAGTGATAGAAACATCAATGATGAGAGAGAATAATTGATTGGCTGCCTCCTGCGAGCCCCACACTGGGGATAGAGCCCACAACCTGGGCATATGCCCACCCCGGGAATCGAACAGGTGACCTTTTGACTCCCGGGCTGATGCTCAACCACTGAGCCACACCCGGCTGGGCTAGAGGATTTCTTTTGAAGCTTCTGCTATTTGGGTACTAATCATTTTAGGTGCTAGTTATATACCCTATTAAGTTAAAATTGTCTGCAGTTAAATCCCTCTAAAACAATAAATTTCTGATTTCAGTTGCATGACAACATCTTAGTAACTTTAAAAGTAGCAAGCAAGGTGTCCTGTCATCACATGAAGCTCCCTGGATTAAAACATTGTCTCCAGTTAGACACTGACTTGTTTTTCAGACTTTATTAAATGTCTAATGTCTATGTCTCTTCTTATTGGTAATGGAATTATGTATAAAACTATGTCAATCTCCAAGTTAACTTAAGTGACTTTTTTTCCCTTAGGGTTGTGAAAATAAAATCAACACATGGTATCAAGCTAATGCTTTATCATTAATTGGAATTAACTTTGGACTTTTGGTTTCAGAGGTAAGGTTTTGTTCCTGTGTTTAAATATAAAAATATTAAGTATAAATAATACAGAATAATCTATGGAACAAACAGCTGGAGACCTAATCAAACAAGTTAATCTAACAGTGGTTCTCAACCTTCTGGCCCTTTAAATACAATTCCTCATGTTGTGACCCAACCATAAAATTATTTTCGTTGCTACTTCATAACTGTAATGTTGCTACTGTTATGAATCGTAATGTAAATATCTGATATGAAGGATGGACCCCTGTGAAAGGGTCGTTTGACCACCAAAGGGGTCGCGACCCACAGGTTGAGAACCCCTGAATAGGAGCCAGGATCTTGAGACTGTTAACACCAAGAGAGGGATTGGTCCAGCTGGAGGTGATATCCCTAAATCAGCTAAGTCAGTGGGGATTGTTAATAAGGGATCATACTGGCCGGTATCCTATAATTTCACTGCTTTGTGATATTTAAAAAATAATAATTCCTATCTCAGCAGCCAGAGCACCATGTTGGCAAGTTGGCAAACTTCTGAAATTTGGGCAGATGTTTGACATTAATAAATCTATTCACTCATAGACTCATTCATTCATTCAGAAAATTTGGAGGGTGGTGAATATCTGCTGTCATTCAGATACTGTACTAGATGTTAGAGATACATCTATGTTGTGGAAGCAACATAGACATATTTCATGACCCTAAGGGTGCCAGCTACAGAGCTGAGATTCAGAAGCAAGACTTCATTTTCCAGTCTCAGTGACAATTGATAAGAGCAAGTAAAGGCTATGGATTCAAGAAAACTATAAGTGGACAGATTATTACAGTGCAGACTATAACATTGGAATCCTATCTAATAATAGCCAAACATGGTAATTGACCGTACCTTCGCTACACCTCCCATTGGCTAATCAGTGAGATATGCAAATTAACCACCAACAAAGATGGTGGCTAATTTGCATACTGCAGGCAGGGCAGGACAGTGCAAGCCACCAGAACCAGCCGCCATCCAGGCCCTTGTGGGCAACAACAGAAGCCGCCTGCCTGCTGCCCGGGACCTGATCCGGTCCCCGGCCGCAAGCACTCCGGCCCTGCAAGCCCCAAGAGCTGCCAGATATGGCAGTAACTCTATCAGTAAGCACTCTGAAAGTCAGTGGCATAAATGCACCAATTAAAAGACAGATTATGAGGGTGAATCAAAAACAAAACCCACTTTAAATATAAAGACACATATAGATTAAAAGTAAATGAATTAAGCTGCAGCCTGTTTTGCTCAGTGGATAGAGCATTAGCCCGTGGACTGAAGGGTCCCAGGTTCGATTCCAGTCAAGGGCATGTACCTCAGTTGCTGGCTTGATCCCCAGTCCCTATCAAAGCATGTGCAGGAGGCAACCAATCAATGTGTCTCTCCCTTTCCCTTCACTCTCTCTAAAATTCAATGGAAAAATATCCTTGGGTGAAGATTAACAAAAACAAAGTAAATGGATTAAGTAACATTAAAGAGATTATAAGAAAAATATATTCCAAATTTTGTTAGTTGTATAATGGTTATGTTTAAATTATTAACACCTAAGAAATTGGGTGAAGGGTACATATAATATGCTGTAGTATTTTATAGTTTTTTT